AATGTGTGGTTAAAAAGTAAGGAGAATTTTTGGGTTTATGTGTAATATTATTTTATTTGAATAATGTATGGTTAGAAATGAGTACTGTAGAAAAATGAGAATGAGAATGAGATAAAAAATGGGTGTCAAACAGGGGCTAAAGGTGGAATAATAATGTGATATGGCATGATAAGACTAATTAATCGACCACATTATTTCATTGCACATCACCTATCATACAAAACGGTGATCATCACACGTGGAAATAAGTAACATTATTCTTTATTTATGATTGCCAATGAATTCGATTTTTTTTTTTTTGTCAGCCAATGTTAAATAAGAATAATTGTAAATTTCAACCGGAATCAACAAGTTGGGGGCCCTCTTGTAACTGGAACCTCTGTAACCCCAAGAATCCTTAGATAGAATGAGATTTCAACTCAACACATTTTTAGTGAGCCATTTCATTATCGTGCTAGTAATGTAAGCACGGCTTGGCATATGTCGATTATGTCATAATATTATGAATAATGTTATTCATCCCCAGTGAGGATGAAAACGTAGTTTAGATGGTATTAAATGATAGGTTAAATGAAAGGTGAAATTAAATGATTTATTTAATTTCACTTATTATTTAATGCCACATTAACGTCACTTAGACTGCGTTTTTATCCCCAGTGAGGATGAATAACATTAGTCTAATATTATTGGTGTTAAATACGTGGCAATTAAGGGTCCGTTTGATTGCAAGGGTGGAAAATGGGTGGCAAGAAAATGTTTTACAGGGAATTGATTTTCTTAGAAAATGTTTTACTGGGAATTGTAATTAATTGTGTTTGATTGGTATAATTTTCCACGTGTAAAATTGTAAATGTTTGGTATCAGTTTGATTTCGTTTTTTATGAAAATTGTTCATTAAAGTGATAATTTTTTTTACTATTAAGGCTAGAATTTGTTCTAATTGCCAAAAATTTAAAAAAAAATTAAAATTTTTTTTTAAAAAAATTACCATACCGAATACCATTCGTTTGACTTTATTTTGCATGGAAATTGTCAATAAAAGTGATAAAAGTTTTTACCATTGTGTTTAAAAATTTTTCAATTGCCAAAAAAAAA